TCTTAGAAGTAATTAATAAATCTTTATTAATTACTTCTAAGACAGCTGCAGTTGTTGATTTACCCTCTCAAAATCCAAACTGTGAATTTGTCAATAAATTGTTATTTTCAAAATATTCATTCATATGTTTATGCATGAGACATTCAAAAATTTTGGAAAAGATTGGCACTATTGAAATAGGGTGATAATTACTAGGAAGATTTTTATCACCTTTTTTATATACTGGAATAATTTTAGAAATTTTGAGAAGGTCAGAGAAATAACCAATTTTCAAACATTTACTAAAACAAAAAGCCAGAGGCTCACTTATAAAATTAATTATTTGTTTGATGCTATAATTTGAAAACCAGTAATGATCCATAGCTTTTGAATTTGAGAAATTAGCTACAACATTGTTAACCTCTTGCCATGATACCTCCCTCCATTGGAAATGTAATTGTCCTATAGGGGGAGTCCCCAGCAACTCATGCGCAGGTGTGTTAGTGAGAGGGATTTCGTTTTCTAGCTCATTAACACATTCAATAAAATAGTTATTGAGATTGTCAGCATCCAAAACCTCCGACTTAGTTGATGTAGGAGAATATTCATGTGATATTATAATAGTATATAGATATGAATAGTATAGATTAGGCCTATATTGGAGTATAGTTAATATTATTAAGGGCGCGCTTTACCCGCAGTAGAAATCCTGCGATCGTTGTTGCTAACGCCAGTTACGCCGTTATGAGGTGGGAGCGCTAGGAGCGATGCGGCGAGAGGGGAAATGGCAAGATGGCCGCAACTGGCAAGCAACGAACTCCGGGCTGCACAGCGCTTGAGACTGAGATGGCTCTCGCACGCGCAGTCGCGCCCGCCCGCGCACCACTCACTGCCAGCCACGGCCACAGTAGACCAGCGCTTTTCGGTAGCCTTGCCTCGTCGCATCAACACAACCACACAACTCAAACTAGGCTACTACTGGGTGTAAGCGCTCCGATGTCGCGTACAGTATAATCATAGACTAAGCAACAAGTTTGTTTCATCTATGGTAGAATGTAGCGAAGTAAGCTATGTTTGTTATTCAAAATTATTACTTTTTTTCTACACCATTAGACATCTTAAAATTATGGACATTGGCAGTAAAAAAAGGAAATTTGTGTACATGACGTACAAATACACATTATAATTTGTCCTTCACTATATGCAAAGTATACACAACAAATACATAAAGGGTACCTAATATTATTTTATTTTCCAACAGGACCCTAGTCCACATCCTGGATTACATGGCAACTATTTAAAAACTCGGTAGGATTATAAAATTATTTGAAAATATATTTATTAATAAGGATTTGATGATTGAGTTGATTATGGATTATAGATTTTGATGATTTGATGAATTAAATCTCGGATATAGACCCTAATAGAATTTATATCCTATCTCTGATGGGTAGCCCTCTTGGGTATCTGGGATCAATAAGTTCTGGCAGAATGCATTTGAAATAGAAGTCAGTTAGTGGATTTTCCATATTCTTCCTCCAGAACTCATCGTCTCTCATGATCTTCTCCACTGACAAACCATGAGGTGTCCAAACTACAAACAAACAGTATTTCAATTTTGTTAATTTATATTATTACAGTATCTTGATTACTATTTTATTTTTTATATACAATAATAATGATTGTGCAACATTGAATTTCGTTTATAAAAATGCAAATCGTGACGTTAATGGCTGTTTACAGCGTTTTAATGAGTTTGTCATCTGTTTTTATACTATATTGGATTAACCGTATTTTTCATTACCCCCCCCTCTCCCTATTAACTCAGGTAATCGAGTATCTACAGATAAGTTCAAAGTATTGTAACCTATGCTACTTGCTACTTGATTGTATTTTAACGAGCTTTATGTCAACAAAGCGGTTTGTGCTAACTCGCGGTGTAGCTGGACGTGTCTGTACCACGTGTTATCTATTATCTATCGCAGCAGTTGAGCCATTCCGTGCCCTTTCTCTTAGATCTCACGACTTGCTAATCTTAAATAATAACTTTCTACACGAATCCTAAACTATCCTAAAATCCTATTTTAACTAATTTAATTAAATAATATAACTATTACGGTGACTTCGTAATATATTTTGGATTGTTGTCACGTTGAACACTGTTGCAATTAGCTTTAGCCCCCCCCCATTTGAATTTTTTTAGCCCCCCCCCAAGAATTTCAATGACACAGTCTGCGTCACAGCCCCCCCTTGTGGGCACCCCTGCGCTTGCAGATACTAGGCTGAAAAAAAATTGGTAGTTTAAATAATGATTAGGTTACCTTTTTTAAACCTTTTAATGATTATATCCCGCTTATGGTAATCTAAAACACATTTAAAAAATTGCCCGCGCGTTTATTGTATTGAGTATAAACAACTGGTACTAATAATTTGATTTTTAACAATGGCCCCCTGTTATTTACTTATCCGGTACACACAGATCTAAGATTTATTTGTACATTGTTTATTACTATATTTCACTGCACAAAGTACTAGCTGATATAGATTGTATAGATTTTTGCTATGGATTATAAACAAAACAATGACAGTCTGTTGGTAGCTATAACCCTTATAACAGTTGTTGCCTTATTTGTCATAAGTTCGCCTTATTTTGACAATGACCTTCAAACCTATAAAGACAGTTACGGTACTAATTTTATCTGCTTATTAATTGCCTTATATTGATTCCTAAACATAATTAACAATAATAATAACAATAATATAACAAACCACTCACCAAATATTTCTCTTTCTTTCCCACCACTTATCAAGATTCTTCGCTGTAGACCTTTTCCTTTTAGTGGAAAGTGTCAAATGTCGTTTGACACGAGTTTTCCTTGAAGTTCCAGGCATTTAAAAACTCACTTTTAACTATCTCTAAACTTCACAAACACAGTTATGCTACCAGTACACTATCGCCAAACATTCGCCCAAATGTTTCGCCGAATGTTCGCGTTAGTTTGCGACCGCGAATGTTGACGAATGTGAAGCCCAAACGATCCCGAACTAACCAAGTACACTATCGGCTAACTTCGGCCGAACTGTGTTGAGTCCAATATTGCGTATTCGTGGCAAAACATTCGCACCAAACCCCAAACCGCTAACGTCAAAGACTATTCTAGAAAATTATAGAGGAAATTCTATGATTTCCGTTACAGTAGTTTGAGTTAGACACCACTTGAATGTATCCTATGTTTCTTACTTCTCTGCGGCTTCGTAATGTAAAATTAATGCCAATTTTTTTTATTAAAATGTTTGTTTTCTTAAGCGATACTTTATTTATGTATATAGGCTATGCAATTAAATCATCCCACGGCCACAGAACAGGCTCACTACGGTATAGTTCCAAAAATAACAGTGATTCCTCATTAGAACACTCCATACTTTGTACAATTTATCTATATAAGATCTAGTAGTAAATAATTGATTAACAAAAACTAAAAGTATCTCTAACTACACCACCGCTGCAGTAAATACTGTAGAAAGAGTGTCCATGACTACGAATGACAGCGAGTGTGTACTGGCTGTGTTCGTGCCCGTCTGCGATCGGCATTCGTCCTAGTTCGTCTCCTTTGATTCGTGACGGGAGACTGCCAAAAAAGCGAGCGCACCCGAACACGAATGTTGGCGATGCGAACTACCCCAAATGTACACGAGCACACCGAGTACACTATCGCGCTCGTCTTAGGCCCCTATTACACGAGGTAGCCTGGCGACGCACTGGCCACCAAACCTATAACCAGTTGAGTAGCCAGTTGAGTAGCCAGAATTTTACCGCCGTGGCGCCGTTGTTGTGAGTGCTTGTCTTGCACTTGTACTTGTTATGAGCGGTGTTTACAGTGAATAATGAGTGATTATAAGTATCTTCTCCTTCTGTTACTTCTGAAGAAAAGGAGGCAAAGGAAGAGAAAAATGTACGTTCATCCAATGCTTAGTGCAAGAGAATCAAAAGGGTTATATTACGCCCTTTTTGATGAGCTCTGTGCGGACAATACAAAATTTTTCAATTATTTTCGTATGTCACAATCTAGTTTCTTTGAGTTGTTAGGTCTCACAACACACAGCACAACAGTGTGCAAGTACCCCCGTGATATGAACTGACCGAGTGGCGACGTGATACTGGCGACCTAGTGTAATAAGCTCCATATGCTACAACGCAGCGTCGCCAATATGGGTAGCCAGTGGCTACCACAGTGGCGACGGGGCTCGGTAGCCAGTCGGTCGCCAAAGTGTGGCTGCGTCGCTGGCTATCCTCGTGTAATAACATCCATAAGATTAAGAATCAATGCCCCATGACAAGCTGAGTAGCCAGTTTGGTCGCTGGCGACGTCGCCAGGCTACCTCGTGTAATAGGGGCCTTAGTTCGCCTACATTCGGCAATAGTGTACTGCAGGCATTAAACACAGAGGTAGAGTAGCGCCGGGTTTGACAGATGGAAACACGTGGATCAAGCATTGGAGGGGTGAGAAGCGGTGCTGAGAGGGGGATTTCCGGCGAGCTTCCCCGAGCTGCCGCTAGACGCCGGCACCGCACAGTGGTAATTTTTAATTTGCAGAGGTTTCCAAGATTACTCTTTTCGAATTAACCAATAATGATAGCTACGCACTCTAAACGGATTATAGTAGTAAAAAGACCAATCTATAGTTCTGCGTTTTTAAAATTTTCAAATAACGTTTTTTAAATAAGTTACGGCTAGTCGAAAAGGCCCTTTTTTCTTGTAATAAAACTCAAGTTTATAAGGTGTGTAATAAAGATAATTGAAATATAGAAACGCAGAACTATAGAAAATTTCATCCTCTTTAATATGAGACCTTAAATTTGATTCTATCTTCAATGTAGCAGGTGAAAAGAGAAATCTTGCAAACCCTTGCATTCGGTTGCGCGTCAGGGGTAAAGCGCGCCCTTAACTGGAAACAACTAGTTTAATACAATTTAGTTTAACAGTGTTCTAATCAGACTAATCTATAAAATTATGTTTACAGCACTAACACTCTTATTGGTTTTTCTGCTGGTGCTCACTTCTATTGCTGTCATAATATCCTTAAGAAGACTCTACAGAAATGGAACAGTAAGTGATTTATATTTAAACACGGCTAATTTCATAAGTTATCAATAAGTTCACAGTTGACCATCTCTCTGAACCTCAGTACACACAGACCACGGGCGAAAACCTGTAAAACAGTGACCATTTACATTGTAATACGCTACAATCGTGTTTGTAAACAAATTATTCTTGTTTCTTTGTATTTTTTATAACCTTTTGTAATGTCGCATATTTGCGACGCCCGGTCTATAGCGAAGAAAATAGTGAAAATTATCACAGTTTTCTTAAAATAGACTAAACATCGCATATATGTGACAGTTAATTTTTTTGTGTTTTAAGGTAAAAGTAAGTAAAAAATAAACGGATTATTCAAGAACAGTTTATAACTGAACAAATATAAAAGCTACATAGGATAATGCAGCATACATACAGACAGTGATGCAGAAAAGTAAAGACCAGTTTTTCCAACTATTATATGACGTCACCAATCATCATATCCACAGACCAAGCGACGCAGTTGTGCGTCAGACATCTCTGTAGACCACTGCAGGGTATTCCGTGCCTTCAAATAGACCACTACAAAGATATAAGCATTTTAATAACATTAGAACCCCGACGCAAATATGCGTTGGCAGTCTATTTTAATGTGACTAGCCGTCGCATATATGCGACAGCAGTCTATGGGTGGAAACCGGCCGTCGCATATGTGCGTCGCTGGTCCATGTGAATGGAAAATTTCATACTATTGCAGTAGCGAAGACTGATACATTATTTGAAAGGTAATGAAATAAAAGTTTTTTTCCTACAGTCACCCAACAAAGTTGGCTTCCTTGTACTGTTTATAGTACAGAGAGCTGCTAATTGCTGCATATTTATACTTTGTCGTACAGTTTATACTTTGTCGTACGGTTTATACTTTGGCGCACATCAGGATTCCAACGAAACAACACAAAACAGTGTGGTTCTATTATGCACGTAATCCGTGTACGCTTGGAAATAGGTTGGCAACACTTAAAGATAATAATACAATGAGCAGCTGATTGACTATTATAACTACGATTTTACCTATCATTTTGTGTTTATAGTTTCGGTATTTCTGAACTTCCTGGACTTTTCTTTTAAACGTTTTAAAAACATTCCTAAGATCTTAATAAAGAAGAAAATACCTTTAAAGCATTTTTTTTAGGCGCGGAAACCACTTCAAATTGCAAAAACATACAGAACTATATTCTCAAGTCGCGGAGCACATTTCTTGCCGAGGAAAAATAGCAGAGTGATACGGACCGGGTACTACTTTCCCTAGGGCACCTATTTGTGTTGCCAGCTGAACCTAAAAACTTGTTGTATAGTGTTTGAAAGACTAATTATTTATTAATATGCTTTATAGTGACTGTAGGAAAAATATAATGTGTAACACGAGTGCAAAAGGCCTTTGCTGCACTCGAGATCATTCCGTAAACATTGCTCTCGTGTGTAGCAAAGTGCCACTTTGCCCACTAGTTACACAAATAACTATTTAACACTAGTAGAGTAACTTGGGGCAAGAGTGTGCACGGGGTAAGAGTACGCAGACCGAAATTTTTTACTTTGCGCTTGAGCTAGTTGGTACCACTGAGTCTCATCCGGTACAAGACAGTACCCATGCCATTCCTCCGTAGTTTGATGGTTCCTCTCTGTTTATTCATCTCACAGTGAGGTAAGATAATTTTACCGTTATTTTGAACTAATATTTCAGAATTTGGGAACTAGTATACCTTATTTCAATATTTAATTCAATTGTTTCAATCATATATAGTTTAATCGTCATTTAACGCTCTACTCATCATAGCCATGTTAGTTTAGTTCCATTAATGGCCACAGCGAGCAGCAGCTCCTTACATGTAAAAACTTTGAATGCAAGAGTTTGCATTGCCTTTGAGGTAAGAGTTCGCATGCCCCAAACATTTATTTCAGTGTTCACACCTCGTTGAAGAAATCCAAAGGTAAAAGAACAATTCAACAACCAAGGACATCAAGTACCAATATTATCTGTCCAGAGAAACCACCAAAGGAGGACTGGATTCAATGCACTTCATTCAAGTGCATGACTCTTGTTCAAATTATGATGATGGGAGCGATCCAAACCAGCATGATTGGACTATAGAAACGGGGGTTTATGGGTGGGGGGGGGTATGGGGGGGATGGGGTTTAAATTGGTTATGGGAGGGATCTTGGATATTACGTAATCATGACAATGGCATTGACCTTGGTACAGGTTAAAACTGAGAGTTTAAAATCACACCTTGTTCTAACCCTTCTAAAACCTAGTCAAACACTGTCTTGCGTAGTCATAAACCATGTAAATAACAAAACAAAACAGTAGAAAGTTTTGTAAGCTACTGCTCGCGATACAGTACAGTACTGATTTGTCACAACAGAGGAATGTCAATAATAATCATTAACTATAGCATTGGTGTTGCTAGTTGAAACAAATCGTATTCAAAACAATAAATCATTAGATAAGTCATAAAAGTGTATAATCATAGCCAACTTAAGGATAGTAAAAACACTCGTAAAAGGAATGTTAAAATAACGATGTTGCTATTCTTTCTCTTTGGTTTTGTTTTTATATTCTTTCTTAGGTTTCTCTTTATCCAAAAATTGTACAATTCACCATAGTTATCCCATATCGCCCAATCACAGCTTACTAAACATTACGTCGTCATCAGTCCTCAGTGAATGAAATCAGTTCTCAGTTGCAACATAGTGCGCGCAGCGACAGCAGACAAAGACTTAAAACGGAGCAGACGAATGTTAGTGCAAGCGATGACGTGACCTTTCCATTTCATTTGATAAAGAAACAGATTTTCCCAAAACAATAACTGGGTGGGGGATTTGTTATATCGAGGGAAGGACGTAGACAATACATTATGCAGAGGTTAAATTCACAATGTGGAGGTTCTGACAATGATAAATACTATATTAAGGTTATATTGAGGTGTCTTATTTTAACCGAAATCACGAAAAATTCGTTAAATCAAGGTCGTCGTTATGGTTTGTTTGTTATGTAGAGGTAAAATATACATGTTGTCTTATGGAGAGTTCTAGGGGATTAAAAAAAAAATCGTTATATCAAGGAATTCGTTATATCGAGGTTCGTTATATCAAGGTTAGACTGTAGAAATCCAGCCAGGTAAATGGAAATTCGCTTAGTCTGCAGGTTTGCTGCAGCTGGGTTATTTATCATTATATTTTATTATTTTTATTATTACTTATTGCGAAAACTACGCTCAAGATCAAACAGGTGTACCAAACTTATTGCTATTGCACAAAACTAAAACTTACAAGTATACTCTACAGCACCAAAAGATTATTACTCATCTATTCGAACTAATACTATCGAGAGGAATTTTTAAAACTAGGGAGTTCTTTTTCGGACACCCGGTAGAAGACAATGTCCACTTTTACAGTGTTTATACATATACAAATCCTTGTCAAATCATTAGTTTGTTTTTGTTATGTTGCAGGATAATAAACAAGACACAACTCCCAAGAGAGCAAGAATCAGGTCACTTGATACATTCCGAGGGTAAGCATAGAATTGCCATGTGTGGTATTAAAAAAATATTTTCTTCTGACTCCTAGTGGGCTGACCCCTGAGGAGGTAGGATTTTAAAATTATTTTTATGTCCAGTGACTCTGTTCCAAATTTTGTAGCTCTATCTATATATATATTTTGCGGTCCCGGAACTTAAAGCATTTTAAAGCATTACAAATTTCCATTTTTAAATTTTTACTCTTACTTTTTTAACTATTACACTTTAACAAGTTTTTTAAAGAGGATCATTTTTGTTAGAAATTTATCGTGGATCATTTTTTTTATAATGTATTTTGCGCTAACTTAAACCACTTAAATTTAAAATCATTTCACAAAAAGGAAAAAGTACAAATTGTTCGTTTTTAACCCCCCCCCCCCCCAAAACCCGACGTCCAAAATGGTGTTGTTCCAAATTTTTTACCATACAATGACTAAGTTATATTGAAAAGTTTGGAGTCAAAAAGTTATCTTTCACTTTAGATGTTGAGGTTAGGCCGTTTTTTTTTTTTTTTTTTTTTTGCTAATATTGCACCTTACTAAAATTGAATGCATCCATTCATTATTGAACTAATGTTATTTGCAATAGGGAATAAATAAGACTTGATTATGGAAATATTTTAGAAAAATTGAATCAGACAAAGTGAAATGCGCTATTTTTTTTATATTCAAACCTCTTAATTCTGTATAAACAACATACTCTTCCAATTGTTTACATTTTAGCTCAGTTTTCAATATAAAAAAAAACATAGTAATTGTTGTTACATGCTAAATACAAATGTGACGTGCAACAAGAACCATTCAGTATGGAAAGAGCATGTGTTCAAACTGGTAAAAAAAATTCATCTTTAGGGTATTTTTCCTTATGACGTGGACTTGAATAAAATGTATTTACATCAAGAACAAGCACCTGGATGTAACGCCTCATTCACGTTGGATGAGGCAGTTAAGGACATTGGCAGTTCCAAGTGGGGGGGGGGACTATAGGGGCTAAAGTCCCCCCCCCCCCTCCATTGGACCCTGGAAATATAAATTTAAACATATCTTTCATCATAAACATAACGGAGGTTTTTGGACATTGTTCTACAGTTCTGGACGTTAAAAATGGCCTTATATATCTACGTTTGGAAAAACTGATGGAAGATATCCTTCTCTAATTTCTTTAAAAACCTTAGCAAAGCTATTTTGTTAGGTTTTTCAATTGTACATTTAGCTTCAAGTTTGAGTTTCATATCAATTTTGGTTCTCGTCTTAGCTATGGGGTTTTCTTTATTTTTCAAGTGTATCCTTGACACTTTCAATATAGGATTTAAAGTGTACAAGCTCTTCAAAGAAGCTATCTTCAACATGTGATAAGTGATGAGATCGATCACCAGCTTCTCTTAGCTTACATCAGTATGTTTATATTACAAACGATAGCAGGGGGGTAGGCCTGCTCAATATAGCCCATGCCTGCGAGCGACGACGTGTCCGCCAGACCAACAGGGCAGCACAGAAAACACGGCACAGCCATTGATGATTTATTTATCATGTTTATAATAAACATGATAAATAAAAATGGTAAAATAATAAAATGATAAAATAACAAAGATTTCAAAACATATTTATAAAAATATATTTATTATGTGGTGGAATAAACTCATTCATTCATTCATTCATAATAAATGATCGACTTTGACTTTAATGTTTTGAAATCATTTATACTCAATCAAAGTATTTAAAATAGCATTTTTGCAGTTCTCAATATTAATAGCTCAACATTTATTTTTTTAGATTAAAACCTCCTTTTCGATTATTTATCTTCCAATATTTTGACGCACCCTAAATTTTCAGCCTTAGGCACGCGCCTGGTTTAATCCATTTATACATATTGTGACGCAGAATTCTAGGGGGGGAATAAACTAGTATTCACCAAGTCAGGCTAGGCCTACCCCTAGAACCAGCCACACTCAAATTTCTTCCCCGGAATGCTCAGAAGGAGCCGAGAAAAATCCAGGGGTCGATACGAAGTTGTCACGGCTTTGACTGATCAATTTATTTAAATTTAATCGAAGGCTCAGAGCTCTAGAAGCGCTCAGGAAATCCTGCAGACGCTCAGTTGGAGTTATATCATCCCAGCCTTCGTAAAAGTGTTTTGGAGAATTTTGCCTAACTTTTATAATGACTCTGTAGGGCCGACGAGTATCCAATCTTAAGCCAATGTGATATAAATACTCGTATTAAAATGCAACTAATTAGTTAAAGACGTTGGTAATCGATCTAATGTCGACTAAAAGGTAAAAAAAACAATTCCTACAGAGTCGTCGGGGCCTAATTAATATAACTGAACGGATAATTTATCGTGATATGATTTAAAATAAATTTAATATGAATATTGTAGCTGTTTGATTGTTCAAATCAGCTGCTCCCAAGACTTGATTCTTTCACCCGCCAAAGACGGGGTTTAGAACTTAGACGACAAGTCTCGGGGTATTAAAACGTCGAGTCAATTAAAATAATATAAGTAATAATTACTCGTTAAGCTAACGGAGAAATCGTAATTTCGAAACTAATTAATTAAAATGAAATAAACGATCGCCACCGCTAGTCACTGGCAGGCAGGAACTGGCGGGTCAAGACTCGAGTTGAGAAAAATTAATTAAGATAATTCGTAATGGAATTTTAAGAAAACGAAAAGGTATAATAAGTAAAGTATGCGTAAGATAAAACAGAAATAACGTAAAACGTAAAAAGGGGCCTAACTAGTATGGTGGCTAACCTTCGTGATAATCGTAGTGTCGTTGTATTCGTAACCCGTGCGAGCTAGTCGGTGGTCAAACAGCGAATAATTCTTTCTTGTTCTTGTCCGACTCAAATCATGATTTCCTCGGTCGAGGCTTAATCGCTCTGGTGGTGAGTTTGAGAACTAGCCAACAGCTGATCGGAAATTCACCTGTTGAGCCGGTCTAGTTGTCGTCTGTCGTTGGTCAACAAACACCATTTCGAGGTTAAGTGATGTTGTCATCGGCGTTAAATATTCGTAAAATCGGTCGTTTTAACTTTATTTGGTGAAAAGGATTGCTATTATGAATAAATATGTAGTTGTGGGTGTGTTCGTGTACTTCACTGTTATCAAAAGTAGGCCTACGTTCTTTGGCCCATAGCCCAAGCTAGGGCCAACACATAGGCCTAGGATTAGGATGTTGTGGATAAAAATCGGGTAAGTTATGGTGTTTGTTGACTAGCAATACGTTTTTACCCCCCTTAAAATTTGGTACCTCACACCCCTTACCAACTTCACAAAAAAAAGAGAAAAAAAAAAGATTTCTAACGTGAGGGGGATGGTCCAAAGGCCTCGTAGAAGGGGTAGCTGAAGAAACGGCGACGTGAAGAAGAGGTCGTGTACGAGAGGGAAAAGGAAACGAAAACAATAAAATCTTCTTGATAACAAAATAAAAAGAACTTCTTAAACGAAAATAAAAACCAACTGGTATAAAAACACCTCTCGTAAAATCGGAAAAAAGATGAACGGTAAAACAAACAAAAAATACTTCTGAATCATTGAACGTAGGGAAATGATTCTTCGGCCCTCAACGTTGGTGGTAGGGCTTCAGGTCCTTCACGTGAACTACGTGTGACACCCCCGTGCGCACGTCTCTCACCGTGTAGAGGTTGGCCCCACGCCGCTCCTCAACCTCGCAGGGTCCGTCGAACTTGGGGGCGAGCTTCCCGACCACGGCGTCGGCCGCGGAAGACAGCGTGTGAATCCGCCGCAGCACGCGATCGCCGTTGCGGTACCTCACCTCCCGCCGGCGGAGGTTGTAGTACCTTGCCTGCTGCTCGTAGGCGGTCTTGAGGTTGGCGTGGACCTTCTCGTAGATGCGTCCGAATTCTCTGCTGCGGCTATCGTGGACTTCGGCGAGCGTTGGCTGTCCGTCAACGTCGGGGGTCGCCTCCAACGTTTTCCCTCGGACAGCTTTCGGGACTCTGAGTTCGCGGCCTAATGTTAACATCGCCGGCGTGTAACCCGTCGAATCGTGGACGGCGGTGTTTATGGCGAACTGGAGCTCGGCGATATGGGCGTCCCATGACCTATGATTCTCCTTCACGAACTGAGAGATCATGGTCTTCACGACGCGGTTGACTCGTTCTACCGGGTTCGATTGTGGACTGTAGGGAGCTGTGTTCGTGAAAGTTATGTCCCAATCCGTCGCCAGGTCCCTAAAGAGGTTCGAAACGAACTGAGTCCCGTTGTCGGTGATAATGGACTCAGGTGCTCCGTATCGAAGGAGCATCTCTTTAGTTTTGCTGACAACGTTCTTGGCCGTTGCTGACCCGATAGGACATAACTCAACCCACTTGCTGTACGTGTCCTGGATCACCAGCAGGAAGCGGTGGCCCTTTCCCGACCTGGGTAGTGGACCCACTAGATCGGCGGACACCGTGTACCACGGACCTTTTGGAGCCCGGAAGTACATCTTCCCTGCCGGTTTCGTCTGCGCCACCTTGTACTTTTGGCAGGCATCACAGGATCTCACGTAGGCTTTCGTCTCCCGACGCCATCCAGGCCAAAAATATTCGGGCCCTACACGGCGAAGTGTTTTCTTGACACCAAGGTGTCCTGCCGTAGCGTCATCGTGGTTCTGTCGTAGTACCGCCTCTACTTGCCCTGGAGGAACGCACATTCTCCAGGACAGCTTACCACCACTCCCATGGCGTTGGGAGGTTCGGTAAAGGCGGTTCTCCACGATTTGATATCGCGGATAGCGTCGTGGGTTGGCGGTCACGGCTGCGTACAACCGGTCGTACCAATCAGTCGGAGGGACGTCGTTGGCTTCGTCGGGGCGTGCGTCGGATTGCGTCGTGTCATTCCGTTGGTCTCCCGGTCTCGTCGATTCCCTGCGTCTGGTCGTGCGTCGCTCGCGAGGCGCGTCTGTCACCTCCGATGTGAGATGACTCACCGCGACCAGGCCCGATTGGCCCTCGTTGGTCACGGGTTGCCTCGACAATGCGTC